TTTTTTCTTTTTGCTTATGTGGTGCTGAGGAATCGAACCCAGGGCCTCAGGCATGCAAGGCAAGTGCTCTACCACTGAGCCACCTTCCCAGCCCAACTCTTCTTTTTTTCAAATGTGATGTTTATTACATGTTTATTACTGTGCCCATTATTAAAATAACCAAAGAAAAATCAATTTTAAAAATGCCCAACTGTCAGTCCAGGCAGTATTGACGTTTCAGCTTGGCTGGTTCATGGTAGAGCATAAATGTGTGGGCATCTGAAGCAATTCCTTACAGACCCAGCTTGGTTCTCCTCCAGTGTCTTCTCTTGGAGTTGTACCTGATTTTGTTACCAGTTTTTATCCGAATCCACGGAGGAATGGGGCGATTTTGCTTTTGCTTCTTGACCAGAAACCGCTTGATTCTGAAAGTCTTGTGAGAAGACATGGTGAGAAGCTCAGGAAGGCACATAACCAGGATGGTGAACAAACGCTGAAGAGCTGAAGACTCTTAAGAAAAGCCAGAGATGACATATCTTCCAACACTCAAAAAAGAAAAAAACACACCGAGAATTCAAGTTTTCATTGTAATTTTTCCTTAACCTTACTCTGCTTCTACGGGTAGTCCCAATACTCCACTATCAGGACAACAGGACCTCCAGCACTAACACAAAGACTGTGAATGGGTATTTTCCCTTCATCTGAAGGAATGGGGGGAAATGGGCTGGCTTCGGCTTTTGTGAAGAATTGCCTAATTCATAGAACAATCCTAACTCTGAGGTTTATAATTAGCTAACACATCTGGAGGTGCTTCACTGTTCCTTTGCCAACTTCCCTTAGCCAGGCCTCACAGTCACCACTCACTGTCACACCACAAGGTCTGAACCATAAAAACTTTTGCCTCCAGGACATACCACACTCCTTCAGCTCCCAGGCAGCTCCCAGGGCCTCTGGGACCCTACCATTGTTTAGTAATTGCGACTAAACTAGAACCATGAACGCTGCTAAAGAAGACATATGAGATAGTCAGGTTTGAAAGTTCTGAACATTCTAGAAAAAGAGACACTTTGATTTAGAGAGTGATTTTGGACATTTATTTCAGCCAAACTAAGAACCTTATCACGTGTGTCGTATATTTTGCCAGAACTAGTCTTGCTCATAGCTCCCTGAAACCATCAACTATGACCTTCAGGACTGTGCATGTAGCTGAGTGTTTAGTATACCTGAGGTCATAGGTTTTTCTCCCTAACAATAGGGAGAAAAAGATTTAACAAAGTAGCTGAAAAAGTCAAGAAAAGATTTCCTTTTCTCAGTGTCCAGGTTTCCATCTATGACCATGGAGTTCATTGTTTCTGCACCTGTGGTGAGGCAGCAAGCACATTACATCAGAAGAGTGTGATGGAGCAAAGCTGCTCACCTCATGGTGGCCAGGAAGCAGAGGAGGGGGACTCACAAACAAGATTTATCCCTTATGGTTACACCCTAGTGATTGAGTGTCTCCAGTTAGGAACCACTTCCTAACATTTCCACCACTTCTCAGTAGCCTACCTGCTGAGAAACAAGCCTTCAAACAAGATTCAATGGGGGAACATTCTGGATCCAAACTGTAATAGTGCTCCCCACCTCCACTCAGCACGTGTTTTCATCTCTAGTTCATGAAGTATTTACCTCCAGCCTGAAGGCAAGGAAGCCAGGTTAGCCAGCATTCTCCTAAATGTGTTGTTTGTGTCAGGTAGGTCCTGAAGAGCTCCAATCCTAGAACTGAATGACAATGTTTCATTAGAGGTTGCTAGATGCTTCCACCTTGGGTGTTCTGAGGTTCTGAGCTGGACTAATACTCATCAAAGTACTGTGAATGTGCTTAATGACACTGAATTGCAATTAAGAACAGTTTTCCTTAATCCAGGTTCATGTAGACATTGTAAGAATCACATCACTTTTATATTATTATATGTTATTATTATAATCACTTGAGTGCTATCCTCTCTTGTCTTGCCTTAGCCTGGAAGCTCCCCCTACTGCCTTCAGGACTAAGATATCCTCTAGTCCAGGACCAATCATCCTACCTGGGCATCCTTATTGCCCTCTCTTTCAGTCTTTATGTTTGAACGCTCTGGAACCTGGTTACAGCTGTGAGGACATCCATCTGGCTCCCACACACTCAAAGCTCTTGAGTTGCTCTTTCAGTGTGAGACTGCATGTCAGCCACAACATTGTTCACCCCCTGTACTATTCCAGCCCTTTGTCACATGATGAAATGTTCAGTATGAACTACACACTGTAGGAAAATACTTGCTTCCACTGTCAGCCACTTCAAGCCAAGAGATGGAGAAGATAGAGCTTTAACTTCTCTACAAAGTTGGGCATGAAAACAGAGGCTGAGCTACTTTGGGAACAGGAGCATCTTGTTCACAAAATAGAGTCCATGAAGAAAGGACTGGCCTTCTGTGGTACATGACCTGTCCTAGTGAAGTGCATCCTTGGCTAACACACATGATGAGTGTGAGCACTTGTCACATCAGTAGTACTTCTAGAGGGTGCTACTGTCCTGAACCTGTCAGCTGATGTCAGCTCTGCTTGGGGAAGGAAAAAAATCACCTGAAGTTTAGAAGGCACATTGATACCACTACTGAGTTGAGAAGGGAGTGACAGTATAGGGGAACTACCCAGATATATTTGTCTAGGCTCAGGAGCAGCTCTGGCAGAGGAGGACTGTGAAGCTGAGCCAGGGGATTTGGACTCTTGCCTAGGATGAACAAGTCCAGGATGAGTGACATAGTCCTCAGGCTCCTTACAGGGTTGTACAAAGGACCAGGGTGAATGTCAAAGAAGGAAGAATGTACTGGCAGGAGAGATGCTACAGCCTGATTGAACAAGAAGAGAAATGCTGACCTCTCATAAGGATAAGGACTGTGAGCTGTCCTAGCCTGCACTACTATGCCAAAATTCCAAGGGGACACAAGGTGAATGGACTTTGGATCCCTGTGTTATCACTTTCCAGGTCTTGACTCCAGAGGAGTCAGCCAATGAGGGGCCAATCTAGCTGTTTCCCACAGGTTTGGTAGAATGTAGACAGTCTTCTGGGTGCCACTCCTAGGTGAGGATGTTCTAGAGACTGGGCCTTACTGTGCATGTCAGAGAACACAGGTGCCAAGTAAGGGTGTTAGTAGGCCTGGAGACCACCATGGCCTATAGGTGGGGTTGGTTTGGTGCTTGGCCTTTTAGCTTAACGGAAGCCTCAATTTTCTTTTTTTTAAATACATTTTTTATTGGAAAAATACTGTACAGAGGAGTTAGTTACATGAGTGATTGAGCATTGAGCCCATTGAGCATTGATGCCTCCTCCTTCATTTTTCCCCTACCATCCCTTCCTTCTCCAGCTCCCCAATTACTCTCCCCCACCCTCCCCCATCCCTTACCCCCATCCCCCACCTCCAAAGTTGTAAAGTTCATTTTCAACATAGTGTCTTGTATATCCCATCAACTTTCTTATCAGAGAGGAGGAGGCTTTTCTGTAATCTTTTGTTGGGAAGATAGCATAGTGAATGAGTTGGGGATAGGAAATTGTCCCGCTACAGGATGCCATCTCAAGTACAGAGAACCTGTATCAGGGCCAGGACAGTGGAGGGGAAAGTAAGGTATACATCAGTGCTCTAAGAAAGTTACTACATTAAATCCTCACAAAGGCCTATAAAGGAGGTACCATTTCCTCTATTCTGTGTGAGGACTCACAGACTCAAAGAGATTACATTGTGTATCCAACACCACACAGCAAGAAGAGGATAGAAGCAGGATTCCAATCAACTATTTTTGACCACACATCAACTCACATTGGTAGCTGTGAGACTTCTTCTAGGGTGACAGTAGAAAGATACACACTTGAGCAGGCTGTTCATGCTTCCTGGAGGCTGGGAGCTATAGGGGAAGCTTACATGGCTTCCTCTTTCTTCTGTAGAGTTGCAAAGAAAGTGTGAAGACAGGTGTAGCCCTTGGCTCTTGGACAGACATACCCCATGGTTCCTTATCACATCTGCAAGTACAAGGAGAGCGACCGGAAACAAGTGCTGGACTTATTCTCTGGGGGCATGGAGGAGCACATCCCACCACCTTCCACTGTGTCCTCATGCTGCCCGGAACCCTCCTGCTCTTATTTGGGCTGCCTGTCACTTTACTCCTGGCCTAGGAATCATGGCTCCTGCCCATCAGATGCACCTTCATCCTGCTCCTTTTCCTGTGGTTCATTGCTGGATACCCCTGGAGGCAGTATGTGGTTATGAGTTCACACATAGACTTTGCTGACATCACTAAATCCTACCTGAGCTCCCAAGACTCCTGTTTCTGCTTGGCTGAGTGTGGGGGCCAGGTAATGGAAATAATGAGTGCAGTGACCATCAAGAATCCTCAGCTGGGAAGGAAGCAGTTGAAGCTCTCTTGTATGTCTGTGGCCTTGGAGCACCAAGGAAAGGGAATAGCTAAAGCTCTGATCAAGACTATCTTCCAGTTTGCCCAGGACCAGGGCTGCAGTGAAGTTGTCCTTGATAACACACTGTTGCTATATAAGTCCCTGGTTCTCTAACAGAAAATGGGTTTTCAGAAGACTAGAGTGTCATTTCTGAACATAACAGCAAGGCTAGTATTTCTCCCTACAATTCATCTAATGTATTGTCTTCCTGCTATAGTTGGGCTATAATCTTACTTATGTGTCAGGCTAAGAGTGACTCTACTGCAGTAACAAGCAAATTCTACATGGCCATAAAACAAATTATTAAAGCCCACATTTTATACTTCATGTTCCCATCTGCTTACTGGTAAAGTAATACTATGGTAATGTTACATAAGAAAAAATAGAAACAAGAAATCATGTATAAATAAACAGTTTCTCCTATTCAAGTCCATGCCACTCACTTTGCCTTTGGACTTGATATCCACCCAAACACCCGCCACAGGCTCTTCCCTGTTCTCCATGCCTGCTTCCTCGTGCTTCCCTGAAAACTCAACCATCCACACACCCATTCCTCCGCTGCTCCTCACACAGCACTGTTGAAACCAAGTGTTTATTGAATATGGACATCATATGTAACATGACCATGAAATAGTTCCTTAGAGGCTGACAAGTACAGGCTACACTGTAGCTTATCTCCTGCTTTAGAGCTACCAGTTCTCCTTTCTTAGCAAAGTCAGTGTTTCCAGAAGTTCCCAGTCAGCCATGAAGTGGGACCACGTGATCACTAGACTCTGAAGATTTTCTTTAAGAAAGGGAAATTGTTTGATTCACCAGAACACATGTGGACAAGCCCTGCTTGGGTTCTGATGACAGGAACAGAGACCAAGGAAGGGCCATGTTGGACACATATGATAGATGATGGGGAGGGTAAACACCCAGTAATGCCAGAAACACCTCCACTTCCTCCCTGGTGAAGGCTCCTCAGGGGGCCAAGTCTCTGCTCCTGGACATTCAGATCCAACAGAGCAGCTTGGGCTCTTTTGCATAAGCCCTAAACACAGCCAGTTGCTCTGGTTCAGTCAGTTTTGCTAGGAGCTTTGGATTGTGGGACTCCTTTGGCCTGAACCATTCTTTATCCATATCTTTGTCAGTTCACCAACAGCAGCTTCCAAGTGAAGAGTGAGGATAACTAGGCTGGAAAGATAATTTAACAGAGGCGAGGAGGCCTTTCGTTCTGCTTATATTATGACTGCCAATTTAGTCTTTCACTCTCGAAGTTTGGTTCTAATCTAGTTTTGTGCTCCCATTGGGTTTAACAGACCTCTCATTTACCAGAAGTCAGCATAATGTACTCCAGGACAATCTGTCCTTCCTGATAGGTTGGCTCTGGGCCACTTTTAGATGAAACCAAGGGAATGGAATGCCACTTCTCATCCCCAGGTACCTGTCAGCTGGTGGGGAACAGAGATGCTACAGCCAAAGGGCATCCTACATCCAGTGAGGACCCAGAGGGAAAGAGCTGCACCTGCACACAGAACAGCAGAGAAGCCACGAGACCCAAACCACCTTCAGGTCACCTTGTGTGTGACTGAGGCCACTGTATGTGGAAAGTCATAGTCATACCAAGCACAAGGCGAAACAGGGCAGGGACAGTGCTCAAGCCTCTGTCCCTCAGCTTGGATTGGATTTCCACCTGGTTAATGTTGCATAGACTCCAATTATTGCACCCCACTGTACCTAGAACCCTACCTCCCTGCCTGCCCTTCCCAATTCACCCTCTCCTTCATGTTCAATATTCAAGGTCAACATTGTTACTTCAACTTCTAATGTTCAAGTGCCAGGGACACTATTAAAGTGTATCTAAGACAATGTAATCATGTACATTAAATATATTCAATGTTAGCTCTAAACTGCGATTAGAAGTTAATATCCCACACATCAACAGTATCCGCCAGGGCCCTCTGTTCCAGCTCCCACTCTCAGCTTCCAGTTTGCCATGAGGAAGCTGCAGGCACTTCTTACTACAGGAGGTCCTGGTCTTTCCATTGCCTCCACCCAGTGACCTCAGGATGCTCTCACCACAGTCCACGCTGTCTCTGCCCCCTTCTCTGTACTCATGCCCATTGGAATCAATTAATGCCTCTATTACTGCTCACTATGCATATCCAAAGAGCTCAGATTTCAGTGTGCTGACTGTCTCAGGTCACAGGTGAACCTACAAAGTACACAGCTAAGGCAGAAAGCTCATTTGTCAGCACCAGTAAAGGTACCTCCTTTAAACAACAAGCAAATTGAATGCATATAAGCATCGAGAACTTTGTAAGTTTCAAGGCCTGAGTAGGCAACCAAGACCTTTGGAAAAATTATCCTCCAAATGTTTATTCCTGATCCACTCTCAGCCAAGTGTCATGAGTCCTTTTCTAGGAGTCGATATAGACTAGGTATTAGTTCCTAGTAAACCTTATAACCAGGAGTTTCTGTGCACTGTGCCACTGTGCAACCTAAACACCTATGCTTGGGTATCTTATTTTTTCAGCAACATTCCACATGTCTCTTGGATTATCTCCTCTGTAGTATATTCATGCTCCATGGTAACACACACACACACACACACACACACACACACACACACACACACACACACACACACACACACACCATACACCATGACTCAGTCATGCAGCTTCACAGTTAAACTTATACTTATGGCCATCAATGCTACCTAACCAGGATGCTGATCCTGCAGGGCCTGGCCCTATGTGTCTTACTCATTCTTTCCCTCCCTGCCTAGGTCAGCTGGTTTATCCAAAGTGATGGCCACCATCCTCCAAAAACTATGCTTCAGCCTTCCTGAATGTCTTCTCTTTCCACTGCCTAAGACCTTCCTTCACAGCCCTAGAGAGGACTGTCTTCTAGATTTCCTGGACCAGGGTTGCAGTGAAGTTGTCCTTGAGACTGGCACATTGCAGTCAGGTGCTCTGGTCCTCTACCAGAGAATTGGCTTTCAAAGAGCGGGTGGCCATAGAAGCAGACTTTTGACAGAAAAAAATCCTCGATCACAGGTCTACCTATGTTTGCCAAGTTGCTTTACACAAAAGAAACAGGGACTTCTATCCTCATGATGAGATGGATTTGCTCACATTAATGCTCATGTATCCCAGAACCTGAGAGGTGGGAGCCACCTCCCTGATGATTCCAGCTCCAAGAAGGTCCTCAGGTCCTAGAGAAGGTGCATAACTGACTAGCGATGTATATATATTTATTGTTTTTGTAAAGGTTATGTACAGAGGAGTTACAGTTACATAATGTCACCCCTTCCCTTGCTCTCTCCCAGTAACTTTTCCTTTTTATTCCTTTTCTTTTCACTCCTTAACTCTCTTTACTTCCTTCCTTCCTACCTTCCTGCCTTCTTTCTCTTCTTCCTTCCTTCCTTTCTTTCTGTTGTGGGACTGAACACAAGGACTCAAGAAAGCCAAGCTGGATCTTCACAACTGAGCAACAGGCCATTACCCTTTTTTGTTGGTCATGGGATTGAACTCTGGGCCTGGGTGCTATTTTTAAGCTCTTCAGCTTAAGGCTACTATTCTACCACTTGAGCCACAGCACCACTTCCAGTTTTCTGGTGGTTAACTGGAGATAAGAGGCTTACGGACTTTTCTGCCTGGGCTGGCTTTGAACCATGATTCTCAGATCTCAGCCTCCTGAGTAACTAGGATTACAAGTGTGAGCCACAGGTGCTTGGCTTCCATTACCCTTTTCTCTAACAGCGAAAAGTTAATCTCTAACTTTTCATCTTTGTTTGCCTTCACATTGCTTCTGAGAGCTATGGCCTGAGGCTCCTGGGTCAGGCTACAATACTTTGAGCTGATACACAAATTCTATAGAGGAAAAAATTACCTTCTGAATTACTTAGCCATCACCAAATAAAAAATCAAATAGCTTACTATTTTGTATGAATGTCCTGCATGTTGCTTTCTAGGAAATCCTTACTGAAAAGCAATGTGACAAAGGGAAGACAGCTCCTGGTACTAGGTTGTTCCTGTGCTCCATTCCCTAACCCAGGCCTCCTGGGTTATATGCACAAAGCCTGACTTGAATCATAAAAGCATTTCTATCCAGGATACATGCATATTCACCCCCTTTTCAAACTTTGGAGTGATTGCAGAAAATGTCCTTGTAGACCTTTGGACAAATCATACACTCTTTTTGTCAATGATTAATTGTTCTTTTAATAATAAACCTCAAACTTGAGAAGCAATAGCAAAAATATACCCAACTAATAAAATCCAGAAAACAAGAATAACTTTGCATTTGTTTTTAATGTTCATAACAAAAGCACCAAGAGTTCAGTTAAAGGCAGACAAGAAGCAGAATTATGTTTTTGAAGCAGCTATAATAATTAATCCTCTTAACTTTATTTGGATCATTAAGGACCAGATCTCCAGGATTTCCTACAGATTCCATAACAAGCAAGAATTTCACTTGACACTATTAAATGATGCAATAAAAACTAACAAAAATGTACCCACTGGTATGTTACATTAACTTACAATTAAACTGTACTTGCTCCTCTCCTCCTTTTTTTTGTGCTAGTCCTTGGGCTTGAACTCAGGGCCTGAACTCCTTGAGCTTTTATGCTCAAGGCAAGCACTCTACTACTTGAGCCATAGCTCCATTTCCTGTTTTTATGGTGGTTAATTGGAGATATGATTCTCATGGACTTCCTGCCTGGGCTGTCTTTGAACCTCAATCTTCAGATTTCAGTTTCCTGAGTAGCTAGGATTACATGTATGTGCTACAGGAGCCTGGCTTGGACTTGCTTTTATTTTTTATTGTTACTATAATAGTGATGCACAGAGGGGTTACAGTTATATAAGTCAACTAAAGAGTGCATTTCTTTTTAGACAATATCACCCTTTCCCTCACTCTCAGTTTTTTCCTCCCACATCTTACTCTTGAGTAATAACCTAGAACCACAGAGTCTTTAAACATAAAGATATTTCACAAATGAGTTACTTGGCTAGTTTGGACATATTTGAAGACCTGGTATAAAAAAGTATCCCACAAATTTGTCTCAGTTAACATTTGAATCCAAACTAGGCTGACCCATAGCTCCCTGAACCCATCAACCA